AGCGATGGCCTCCAACCTACTAGCTTCTTGCTACTAGTAGTAATGGCTCCCCGGGACTTTTCTAGACTCAACACAAAACAGTTCATGGACGATCAAACAGAGGTGACTCTCAAGGTCTGCTCTCAGAGCCTGCTCTCAAGACTCAGTCATTGACCAAGCGCCCAAAAAAATGACCGAGTCACTGACGGATTAATTCTAAGAGCTCCTTCCCTGTGTAAGGAACTGAGTACCCACCATGATCAAATGCTAGAATCAAAAACAAACATGTAGGACAATGATGCTATTGGGAGCAAGGCAACTCAAGTGCCCTAACATAACCGTCCTGTAAGGGCTGCCATGCGTGAGGTGGAACCAGAAACAACCTGAAGCAACTGGAAGCAAATGTGGGCCGCGGGAACAATGCAAGTGAAAACCTTAATATCTGACAATATCATATTTTAATATCTGATAATGTTTAATTTTTCATTGATTGAGGCCTGCCTTTAATTTGTAGGAGCTGGGGTCCCCGGCTTCCTTGGCACGCTTTCGCTCTGCATCGAGTTCCTCCTGCGCAATGAAAATGCCACAAGCGACATGATGCTGCGTCTATTTTGCAATACAGCATGTAACGTGTGCATCAGCTGTAATATCCAGTACAATCCTTCAGTGTCACAACATCTGTCCGAGGTTGTCGAAGGTTGTGAGAGGTCGAAAGAGTTTTGTCGTAAGCCGCCCTGTTCACCCCTTTTGAAACGTGCACCTGGCTCCCCCCGTTCGACAACTTGCTCCCCCTCTCTTCGATCTGGGCATCAGACCTCCAAAACTTTCCTCCTTGCGGCCTCTGCTACAGTCTCCGCAGCAGCCTGGATGTCAGGAAACAAAGCAAAGAAGAGCGGATTCCCAGTCTTGGGGGGTCGGTCTACGAGTTTGTCATGTTCCATCTGTTTCATCCACGGGACCTGCTCCTACGAGGTCTATGATTCAAGATTCCACAAGATTGCGCCAACATCTCTCTCTCGTCGCTTCATGCCTTCTCCTGCTGCCGCTGGCGCTCAGCTTCCTGGCTGCATCATGAGCATAGGAGCGTTGGTGAGAGCATGCAACTACAGGGATGTTCAAAGGCCTAAGCATTCATTCCGTCTGCATTTCTGTACGTATGCGGCAGCTACAGGCCTGCGCCTTCAGAGCTGCGCATTGTTCTAAAGCCTGGTCGCAGTGCGCAGCATGAGCCAATTCCAGTGTGTTCTCTGCCTGTCAAGACCTGGACTCTAGAGTCTAGAGGCCAAAAAGCGGGCTTGGCTAATCAGGAAAAGAAAGTTGTTTTACTTTGCTTTAACTTTTAACATGTTTTAACTCTACAATGATTGAAACCAGGCTGAAAAGTCTCTCGCCTCAGCCGCTCGCTTCCGCTCAGCAGTAAGTTGCTCCTCCGAAGCAACAGGCAATGGCACACAACAGGTCTCGGTATGTCTCGCAGTCTTATTCCGCATGTACACCAGTAGCAGGAAGAAACGCGGAAAGAAAGCGAATGACCCAAGATCTCCATGTTTTATCATTTTTTTCTGACTGCACCAAACATCCATGTAAACGAACTGCCAATTCCGAACCAGCCCAGGCCTGCAGCTGATGTCGCTGTCTTTCTTCCTCTATGGCGTTTTGGAGGTCTGCTGGTGCCTACATGACTGCCATAGAGTGGTGAAAGTCGTGAAATGTGACTTTACCAACTCAAGTAGAGCCTCCTCAACTCAATAACTTGAAGAATCAATTCTTGATTGAGGCGCCTTTGCTTTTAGCATTTCGCATTCTTTGAAGGCCTGGCAAGAAAGTGGGAGCAAGCGGGCACGGGCCACAAGGCGGAGAGCAAGCGGCAAGGAAACATGGGCTGGAAAATCACCCTGGTGAGACTCATATGATCTCACTTCAAACAATGGCACCTGGCCCAATCAAATGAGCGTGAATATGAACTGGACTGTTACTGTATTGTTACGCAAGCAAGAGCTTCTGGAGCAGTGGGCTTGGGGCCGTGAGCATTCACCTCTTCTCACGCCTGTTCAGCCCGGCGCTGTTCCGCTTCCAGCTGTTCCTGTGATCGGGCATGCTTCTGTCAGCATAAGTAATTATAAGTGGTATATACAAAGCACCTTGCTCCACCTCATGTAACCTTCACACATCAACTGAACCGAAAGGATCACGATTATGAATACAGGGGAACCCACCCAAAAATGGTACGACCCGTCGTGGTGTGTTTAATTTCCCTGAAAATCTTGGAAGCGTTTCCTACAGCAATAGTAGCTTCCTGCCGATGGCTTGGCCGCTTGAGGGGCTACCTCTTGCTAGTTGGCTTCCAAGCTGGCGGCCTACTAAAGTCAAAAAGTGTGTTTCATCGTTGAAACTACTTTCATGGAAGCTCCGTAGCCTTGAGCGCTTGCCTTTGCTTTTCTTCCTCCACAGCGGTGTTGGCATTCTCCAGTGCCTCACCATGGGGTCCTTTGCTCCTAGTAACGATGCCAGGAGCCCCTAGTAGCTTCTTGTTCCTAGGAGCCCCCAGTGGCGTCCTTGCTCCTAGTAGCGATTCCAGGAGCCCCTAGTAGCTTCTTGTTCCTAGTAGTCAGGCCAGGAGCCCCTACTAGCGTCCTTGCTCCTTGTAGCCATGCCCTTTGTTACTAGTAGCTACTGTGGGTCCTTTATGTCCAGCCTGCTGCTTGAGCCTCTCACACTCTGCGACTGCCTTAGTCACTGAATAGCGACATAGCAGTTTGGGTACTGTAGCTGAACAAATGAGTGACCAGCAAAACCATGCAGCTTGTTTCTTTGAAAATGGCATCAAGCTAAGAAGTTGACTTCTGTGGCGCGTTCCTTTTCAACTTTCAACTGCTCCTTGACCACCCAATGCGAAGGAAAAAACAAACATGACACGGAAGGATGGGCAGGGTCACTGCACTCACAAGTTGTTGTCAACTGGACAGGCTGGACAGGCTTGGGTCTTGACACGTTTCGAAGGAACCAATATTGGGGTTGATGAGCACTGATGCGATTTAAACCAACAAATGGACGACAAAAAGCAAGTCATCAGCGCGTGTCTTTCCTCACAGAATATGGAGACCGATTCATCCATTTTGTCAGCATCATAATTATTACACCATAACATGTGGTGTAAAATGTGTCAAACAATATGGCTGTGCGTCAAAACCTGGATACCTTACGAGTAAAGCCCACGGAATACGTCTTCAAAACATCCCGAAGGCCCGAAGAGTCCTTTAGCTCGGCCCGCTGCTTTTCCTCTTCGATTGCAGCCTCGACATCTGCAAGTGCCTCACCGAGGTCGGGTCAAATGAAGCACATGAACACACGACGCAAATGAGTCCATCCCTCAAACACAGGAAAGTTATTGTGCACCCGGAAAACTGTTTTCTCCATGGCCCTGGTCCTCTTGCAGGCAGGCTGCTGAGTCTTTGTCCTTTTTGAGGATTGCGCACTCAGCCAAGACCTGGATAAAATATGGTGAAAGAGACTGCGAAAGCGACTGCGCAGAGCTGGACAACAGCGTCCAGCTGAGAGAGAAAAGGCTTTTGGAGATTGTTCTGGATAAATCTTCTTCAGAACTTCCAAGATAAAAGGCACATAGCTCAAAGTCGCTCATGTAAGGGACATGAGATCGCGTGGCAAAAGGCTCCCATACATCGCATGTCCATTGAAACCGGCCTCCTCCACACGTTTTCGCTCGGCAACAATCTGCGCCTGGACAAGGGATCACGGTTTCCTCCAAAATCAACATTCCTTGCCTGCTTGGATTTCCAAACTCCCCTGTGCCTAGCTCCTTAGTTTCTTTTCATTACCCTTCATGTTATTTTGTTTGTCGAGAAACTTGAAAAAAAAAGTTTGGGGCACTATTGTGACTGTGTTCACGCTTCGCAAACGCATCTTTTCTTCAAAAAGCCTTCTCCACTACATTGGCTTGTTCCGGATGAAATGCACAAAGACATCCCTGGCGCCAACCTTCCCCTTTTGTCAATTTAAAGAAAGAAAGCCAGGTCCAGGGTGATCAAGTTGCGTTACCGACACCCTCCGTTTGGATCGTCGAAACCTTGCTTCATCTATATATGTTCATCTCACAACCCCTCAAACTCAGCCTGGAGCTCAGCGCATTGCACCTTTCATGAAGGCCCACAAAGGGCATGAGAGCACTTTGGAAGCAGCACGGCATATCAACAAATCCGGTTGTTGAACCAAAACACATGAAATACGGAAACGGGCGCACACCAATCTCGTCCGACTGAAGACTGAGAAGGATCCTGACTCATTCATCCTGCTTCATCCTGACTCGATAATATAAGGTGTTTTCAGCGCTGTGTTGGATGGTGGAATATGCTGGAATCGTGCCTGTTGCTGTGACTGAGCCTGCACAAGTGCTGCAAAGCTTGTACTGCAAGAGAAAGTGAGTGATGAAACAAGGCTTTTGGTCCGCTGACCAAGGACACATATTCTCATATTCACAAACAAACTGGATCCGTGCCTGGGAAGCACGCTGCTGCTCTGCTTGGAGCTTTTCCTAAAGCGAAAGAGAAACGATCAAAGGAAAGCAAAGCCACAAGCATGACGTGTTGAAGGCCTCAAAGTTTCTTCCCCTATCTCATCCCTACGTAGACCAATGGATGCGGCTGAGATGTTTGGTGTTCCACAAAAAAAGGCATGCGATCTACTTATCCGATTATCCCAACGGTGCATTTTCCGGTCACCTCCAATTCCCTTCCATTAAACTCCGTTGGCATGGAGCACAACTCTACGTACTATACATACTGCTGGAACACAGTTTTGTCTTCGGTGCCTGCGCTGCGGCAGCCTCTCCCTTCGCCTGAACGGAGCTCACTGAACACTGCTGTGGAAATGCAACGCTCACTGAACACTGCTGTGGAAATGCAACGCATTCAGCCACAGCATGGCAGCATAGATGCCCTTGCTCATGGAAATTCCATTGCAGCATGTTGAGCTACAGCATACTTTGCTCAGTCAGAAGAATCAAGGTCGGCTGTTGCGCTCAACCCCGACCTGGCTACGGAGGCTTTCCAACTCGGCATGAGCCTGGGCAGCAAGTGTTGAGGGGCTTGATATGTCTGCTCATAGTTTCCATTGCTAGTAGGTTGGAGGCCATTGCTATTAGGTCTTATTAGGTACAGTAAGTCTGCTCACAGTTTAGAGGACCAAGTTGTTCGATCAATTCTCCAATCACACGCTGCAGTTGGTCGATGCTTGTTCAGCCGCAGGATGCCAGCCTCTTGGGTCTTCTTTCGCTCCGAGTCAAGCTGCTCCTGGCTGTTGTTGTGCAGGCATTCACTTCACAAATGGTCAGCCCCTACAATTCTACGAGTACCATCTATATCACTATATCCATCTATGGTGAAGGCAAGAAGGCCCCAAAAACGTCCAGTCGTTCATATTCCTTCTTGCTTGAGTTCTCGCGTGAAGCCGTGAAGCGAGCACAAGGCCACGAAAATAAACACAAAACCTGTGCAAACGACCCGTTCCCAAAAGCATCAAGGAATCAAATGCGCATAATCATGAGTGCTGAGAAGGCCTCAATGGCTTTCCTTTGCTTCTCCGAGTCGGCTGAGACAGCCTCACTGTCAGAACAATCCGAGGCACATCTGCTCTGCCCACTCCGTTCATGCCCCACTTAGACACGAAGCTTCTCTTGTTCAAACAGGGAGAATCTGGCATGCCACATGCCCCTCAAAATTGGGGTGGAGCTGGTACAAGCTTCGAACGCCCAACATAGCCTGAATCTTGAGAACTTCCAGCTCAGCCACTGCCTCATAATTGCCGAACATCACTCAACCCATCTCAACCCGAAACCTAAAGGTTTCGCAAAAAGGTCCCAGTCGCTTCTATCTGTGCTCATGCTTGTCCCAGTCCATAGATGTCAATAGTCGCCCTGTCAAGCTCGTCTGGCCGGGCCATGCCCTTATCATTTCTTGGCTGTTCCAGGCTCGCCTCCTTGACTCTTTGCTGTTCGACCTTGAGCTGCTCCTCTCATAGGACGTCCGCAACAGGATGCGCATGCACTTGCGTCTGTGTAGTGGCATGGAGGGTAAGGTGACCTGTATTACTATACAGCAATTCTTGAGGTATGAGCTATGCTCCCCCAGTCTTGCATGACGCAGGACAACAGTGGTCGCTGGTGCCATGGCTTGTTGTGTCCAATAGGTTCTTGGAAAAAGCCGTGGAGCGCCTCAATTTCCTTCTTCTCAGACTCCACTGCGGTTCCTCTTTTGGTTGCCTGCAATTTGAGTCTGGTGGGCAACTGGACTTCAGCAGGTATATTTCCCTTCCAAGAACGACCGTGGTCTGGGTCCAAGTCATCTCAAGTCCCGATTCGCCACATCGCCTCGCTGAGGGTGGTGCACTCGGCCAAAACCTGAGGGAATTAGTAGCGTCCTTGCTCCTAGTAGCGATGCCCTCTGTTACTAGTAGCGCCTTAATTTAGCGATGGACACATCGTGGCTGATTGTGCACAATCCAAGCCTCTCAACCCGACTATGATGTGAGGTTTATGGTGAGGTTTATGGTGGCCAAACAATTGCCACATGAGGGAACAAGTCACATCATTCACGATGAGCTGAATATATCCGCCCAGTTCCGCTGCCTCTTGCGTGCGCCGGCGCTCTGCTTCAAGCATAGCCTCCGGTCAACGTGGCTAGAGAAGGCCAAGCCTTCTCGCAGAAGGGTTTCCTCGATAAACCTTTCACACCTGGCAGTCCTTCACCTGTTACAAGGACCTGGAAAAACACGTCTATAAAGTTCACACATCTATTTAGATTAATTAGTTTGGGCCTCTTCTAACCCCGGATTCCGGACGTGCAGTACAAACGACCCAGGCTCTCCACCTGCAACTCGATCTTGGCCGACTCGTTGGAGCTACTCTTCGTGCTCAAGTCAGAGGCCTACGGCACTTAGCTTCATGAAACTTGGATGCAAAGAAGCTGAGATTCTCCAGAGAATCAAGATATGGAAAGGTCGAAGTGTGGGTGGTCGCCCTATTCTGAGGCCACTATCGAATCACTGCGAAGAAGGTCAATAAAAATCAATAAAACACTACAAGTATCATTTGCCACCTGTATCAAACACAGGGAAATTACAGTAAGTTTACGTCTTCATCCTGAAGCAATCCGCTCAAACCATGTCCAACACCGAACGCGATCCGTGCCTGCTTCTTTAGCGCCTCGCACTCGGTCAAAGCCTGCTGAGTCGGTAGAATGGGTCAAATGACATGTTCATGAGACTTCCTCCTGGGTGCCCTACTAGTAACAAGAAGCTACTAGGAGCAAAGTGCCTCGCTTCTAGTAACAAGTGCCTTACTAGTAGTAACAAGAAGCTACTA